CAACGACAGGAATGTATGAATAGCCAAGTGAGTAATGAAGAAACAAGAGCAGAGGATGGTATCAATTCATGTCATAGTGAGCCAAATGACAGAGTTTCACTTGTTATGGAATCTGTATCTCCAAATCACATGTTGCCTGTTAATTCTCCATCACACATTGAGGTCATTTTTCCGGTACATTTAGAATCAGATTCTAATGTCTCCACTACCAATCCTCCTGAGTCTATTATAACTAGACTAAGAAGTTGTGCTATTCCAAGAAAAGATTATGCAGCCATGGTTGCTTCATTACTTGAATTGCAATCTCTACAGTTAAATGAAGATGACTTATTTACTGGAGGATACTCATTAATTTCTGCAATTAGTGATGTAACAGAACCTAATACATTTCGAAAAGCGGCTAGTATGCCACAATGGCAGTTGGCAATGCAAGAGGAATATGATTCTCTCAGAGCACAGGGAACATGGACATTGGTTCCACCACCACATGATCGATCCATAGTTGGCAGTAAATGGGTTTACAAGATTAAGAAGAATCCAGATGGAACGGTGTCAAGGCACAAAGCTCGATTAGTGGCTCAAGGTTTTTCTCAGGAACATGGGATTGACTATTTAGATACTTTCAGTCCTGTAGTACGACACATAACAGTAAGGATCATTCTAGCAGTTGCTGCAGTCAATCAGTGGGATCTAAGGCAATTGGATATTAAAAATGCCTTCTTGCATGGTGATTTACAAGAAGATGTGTATATGAAACAACCTCAAGGCTTTGTTGATTCTGATCAACCAAATCATGTTTGTAAACTGATCAAATCACTATACGGCTTAAAGCAAGCTCCCCGCGCATGGAATTCCAAGTTCACAAGCTACTTAGCTGCATTGAATTTCATTGCATCCCCTTCTGATACAAGCTTATTTGTTAAATATGATGGTGTTGATACAACTGTATTACTGTTATATGTGGATGACATCATCCTCACAGGATCAAATTCATCCAAGGTTCAGCATATTATTACAGAATTGTCTGAAGTATTTGAATTGAAGGATATGGGGAAGTTGACCTATTTTTTAGGTTTACAGATTCGATATAAAGCCAATGGTGATATATTTGTTAATCAATCAAAGTATATTACAGATTTGATTCACAAGGCAGGAATGGATTCATGCAAACCTGCAAACACACCTTGTAAGCCTCACAATCAATTACTTGATGCAGAAGGGATTCCAATGGCAGATCCATCTTTATACAGGAGCTTGGTTGGATCATTACAGTACCTAACTTTCACACGACCAGACATTGCCTTTGCAGTTAATTCAGTTTGTCAGTTCATGAATACTCCAACAGAGCTACATTTTGGTGCAATGAAACGAATTATCAGATATTTGAAAGGTACTATTCACATTGGCATTAACTATACTGCCAATACATTGTTTAGTCTCAGTGCATTCTCGGATTCAGACTGGGCTGCGGATCTAAACACTAGAAGATCAGTGACTGGTTATGTTGTGTTCTTGGGGCATAATCCCATATCTTGGCAAGCAAAGAAACAACATTCAGTCTCCAGAAGTTCAACTGAAGCTGAATATAAGGCTCTTGCACACACTACGGCTGATTTGGCATAGGTGAGGAATGTTTTGAAGGATCTAAGAGTTCAATTGTTTGCACCTCCAGTCCTCTACTGTGACAATATGTCAGCCATAACATTAAGTGCAAATCTAGTGTTTCATTCTCGGATTAAGCATTTAGACACCGATTATCATTTTATTAGGGAGAGAGTACAGAAGAATGATTTAGAAGTAGTGTATGTGCCTACTGCAGATCAAACTGCTGATGTTTTAACAAAAGGGTTACATAGTCCAGCATTCAATCGTCATTGCTACAATCTTCAAAATCCCAGTTGAGATTGCAGAGGGATGTTGGAGATAGTGCCACATCAGATGCTATCTCAACAATTCTGTTATGCCACCTCAGATAAATGGTTAGTTAGTTAGTAACTGTCAGCTAGCTTAAGGACTAAGGGTCTATATAAGAAGGTTGTAAGGTTACTGTATAATTCAATTCTGAAACAAATACAAAGATAATCTTTCTCTTTCTTCTCTCTCTCTCTCATCCTCTTTCACTTTTATTCATTTCTTCGAGTATAAGGTTCTGTGATATCTATGCTTCTTGCCTTCATCAATGGCAGAATCATTGATATGTTAACAGTGATGACCGTTAATTGGTGGGTGCTATGTTTTCATGACCTTCTATTGATTTTGGAGACAAAATAAATCCTAGTTAATTTAACAGATTTTTAATTGGGCTTAACAAATGTGACATTTTTAATAAGTTGAGCACTTATTTAGAATGTTTAAAAAGGTTGAGACCAATTTGGAATGATACTAAAAGGTTGGGGGTTTTTAGGTATTTAATCCTTTGTTTAATTTCCTCTAATTAGCAGTGTTTCAAAAAATCAGCCTAGGCAGCACCTAGGGCTGGGCGATGGCCACCCGCCGAGATTAACTCATAATTGTGAGAAAAATCGGGATAGGGATTAGCCGACCGCCGAGACGGCATTGGCGGCCCTGGGATGGCCTAGGTGGGCGATTGGGTGGCCTAAGCGGTCTAGGAATTTCATTTTTTTTTTGTTTTCGAACTTAAAGATGAATGCAGATCAGCTACTTGTTGACTTTCTCAATCTTTGGTCTCTGGTTCTTTGTTTAGCGAAGAAGAAAAAGAGAAGATGAAGATGAGAAATGACTTTCTCTTTCTTTCTTTCACACCCAAGTGACCACTCTCATACTTTTTTATTTAATTTTTTTCTTAGTTTCTGGTGGAGGCGATAAAAGTCAAAACAGTTTCCAAAACTAGCACACATGCAGACATGGGCAGATTCATTCATGGATTCAGGTGGTCTTGGGACTCCCTGGAAGTCCGAAGCAGCGCATGTGAGGACATCTGAGGATCATCCAACGGTCTAAGCACGTGGTGAAAGAGAGAAATCCACCATGGCTATGTAGATGTTGTGCAACAAAGCTTTGAACCAAGAAGAATGATCTAATTTCGGATAAAGAGGAACACAGAGAATGGGTTTGGTAAAAAAAAAAAAAAAGGTGTTGTATTAAAAAATTGTTGTCAATGACAGTAGAAAAGTAGAAGCAGAGTCTACCATGTTTCTAAAAAAAAGTGGTTTTTTTTTCCCAGAGCATACTTCATCTTCAGCATAGTAATAATTGCTCATTTAATGAAATTTTCAAATGACAAGTATATCCCTACATATTTTTTAAAATTACAATCTTTGCCCCTACTATTTTCTTTGACAATTATTATATCACATTACATACCATATCATTTTTAGTTATTTAACATATTCACAGCAATTTTTATAAAAGTTTACCAAACACTCATATACTAATTTTTTTGTTAAAAGACCTTTTACTAAAATAAGTTTACCAAACACTCAACAACTTTATGTTACAGTTGTTTATTCTCACAGTACATCAAAATTAGTTTTTTAAAAAGCACACAAATACCAAACTAGTCCTAATCAGACTCTATAAGGATTGATACTTCTCAGTATTAATCACGATTTAACAATAATATAAGTTATACATGGATCCAGCCACAAATTAAGTTTAACCGAATCATGTAACTGGAGAGATTTTGCACTAGATTGGCCCATGACTATATAAGATAAATTTGAGGGTTTAATTTGTTGTTGTATATTTTTTTTAATTATTGTCCAATCAAGTTGTTTTACTTAGCATTTTAATTAACAAAGGGATGATGTATTACTCAATCAAATACTTTTTATACCATACATTTAACACGGTTATTTCTTTTAAAGTTCATTATAAAAGGCAAAAATTCTGATATTTTGTAAGTTTTATGTTAGTAATAAACCTAAATTCTCAATACAAGTATAGTTTTTTTTTTTTTAATTTTTTTTTTTAAGTGTGAACATGCTCTTATTTGTATGATATATAATAAATTCACTTAATCCACTTAGTCCACATAAGCCCCTGTCTAGGCCCATCTAGAAGCATAGGTGCTAGGTTCAGCTCGCCGCTTGACTAGTGCCTTAAACGACCTAATGTTACAATCTTGTATCCGCCACCGCACACAAACTATGATATAAAAAGTAGGCAAGTAGAGGAGCAGCATAAGCAAAAAATAACAATACACAAAACCACTTCTAATATAAATTTCACCAATCATACACCAAAAGGAGCTAGCAAAAAGTTCATACGTAGAACAGTAACACTTGATACGTCTGATTTTTTTTAGTCAATTGTCAAAGTGAATGAGCTTTTTGTCTCTCTTATGGTAGTGTATATGTCCCTTCAAAGTTCATGATCAATGAAGAGAAATAAGAGCCTATATATGCCATTCTTATTTGTTAAAAGATGAGCATTGCACAGTTAGTACAATGGATGGTTATTATTTGAATTTGCCTTTGAAAGGGGTGGGCACTGTCTGGATGTAGAGAATCGCCTCACTTTAGAAAGTTAAGAAACCTTGCCTAACTTGTAAGAAATTGAGTTACTCATTTCATTGCCAATTGATTTTGAAGTGGAATTCCAACTGTCTTCCGGCACTATTAGTTATCAAAGAATTTTTTTAACTTTACAATCATCATTTCACACTAGTGTGACTTAGTCTTGGGGAGAAACTGGCCAGAATTTGCATCTGGAGTCTGGACAAAGATAATAAGGCAATATAACCGATAGTCTGACCATATCAGCCTCTGCCGGAGCAATAAACAGACAGAAAAATATGCCTTTGGTTAATTAATTATTATTATATTTTACTTTTCATGATTTTTAATGTTTATTTTACAAGTTAACGTTCATCCAATTGGACCCAAATAATTTAACAGTATGCTGGCTTGGTATATAAGCTTTAACATAATGCATTATCTATATTGAAAGGCCGGCGTTTTCTAATTTAAGTTTGTTCTTCTGCCTTTTCTATAAATAACCAACTTCCTACATCTGTTCCTTCACCTCTCTCTCAATCCTTTCTATTTTAAACTTGCAATAAACTTTACATATAATCCCCCATTGAAGAAGTTGAAAAATCGAGATGGCAAACCAAATCCTGCTATTGACTACTTTCCTAGCCATGACATGTTCTCTGGTCGTTGCTTTCGAGCCTAGTCCGTTGCAGGATTTCTGTGTTGCTGATGCAACTAGCTCAGGTCTATGTCGAATATTTTGGTTAATTTTCACTATTACATTAAGATATATACTTGTGATTCCTTACTTAATCCTACAATGATTATAACTTCTATGTTGGTTTGTTAACTGTAACAGGAACAAGAGTGAATGGGCTACCTTGCTTGGACTCCAAGCTAGCAACAGCTGAGCATTTCTCCTTCAGTGGACTTCATATCCCAGGCAACACCTCAAACCCTGTTGGTGGAAAAGTTACCCCCGTCAATGTGGCTCAAATTCCAGGACTCAACACCCTTGGCATCTCACTCGCTCGCATTGACTACGCACCAATGGGCGTCATCCCACCCCACACTCATCCCCGTGCCACTGAGATTTTAACCGTCTTAGAAGGCAGCCTCGATGTTGGCTTCGTGACCTCAAACCCCGACAACAAGCTCATCTCAAAGGTCCTTAACAAGGGTGATGCGTTTGTGTTCCCTGTCGGACTAGTTCACTATCAGAAAAATGTGGGCACTGGAATGGCCATTTCACTCTCTTCTTTGAGCAGCCAAAACCCTGGAGTCAACACCATTGCAAATGCTGTGTTTGGATCCAATCCCGCAATTCCTGAGGATGTTTTGGCCAAGTCTTTCCAGGTGGACAAATCTGTAATTCGTGATCTTCAAGCAAAATTTTAGATGTTTTTCATGGAAATAGTTTATGATATTTCATATCATCTCTCCGTCTATTTTGTGATTTTCGCATGTTTGTAAAAGTATTGTACTGAAATCACCTGAAATCGAATGGTTTTATATGAAATTCCTCAGTATCTGGGTGCCCCTTGTGGAAAATATCATTTTTTTACAGTAGCAGAACTAGTGAAACAATGAAACGTTTAAAACTAGTGAAAATACTCTCCAAGAAGCAAAATTTCGTGATTAACATTTTTTTTTAAGATTAAGTCAAATACACACCCGAAAATAGGGTTTTAGTTGAGTTTCTTCTGGTTTCCGATCGAAGCCAACGCAACACTGACCCGGCAACCCGAGTGTTATATGGAGTTTAGTGGCAAAGGGGAAAGAAAATTTTGTTAAGCTTGTGTTTCAAAACAGCAATAATCCAACTATGATTTCCTCAAACAATAATCCAGCTATACCTAACATTTCAGCATCTTTTTTAGGCAATAGAAATATGTTAAAACAATAATTCAGTAAATCCAAATAGTCTAATTACTTTTTCCGCAACCTTGACTAACAAGTAATCAAGCTACTAGAACCCTTGTTCCATGCATTTTGATTCTCTGTCAAGCGACTCGAACGTAGCTGCATCTCTAAGAACCGAAGAAGTGAACAGATTATGTAATAACTCGGTTTCAGTTACTCTACCAAAGCATGCTGGCATTCTGTGCATGGAAGTTAAACCTGCAAGATGGAGCTTTACCTTCGAACACGACCGATGGCGTTAGCGGTAATTTCATAGCTCAGTCAGTGATATCAACTGCTGCTAAGCGAAAATTTTCACTTCATAGAAGCTGCCTACCTAAGGAAAAAACTCATAGAATAATCTACTATTGGGCCTTTGGGAGGCGAAACCATACCATTAAGTCTGGTGCTCAATTTGCCGGGCTCATGCCCTGCTGTCCGGCATCCGTGGAAAAGCCGGTAAGTAACTGAGAATCGCAGAGACACGAAGAGTCGTAAAAAAATCAGTGAAAGAAAGTGAAGAGCACATCCAAGGGGTTTTGAGAAGGTCCAGATGATGGTAGGTGAAATTCATGCTCAACATTCCTGTGAAGTAGAAGATAATGCTTGTTTGAATCCGATGGTTAACAATGAGTGCAGAATTTTTCTCCAGTTTAGACTTAATAGTAGAAGATAATATCTCGGAAATTATACGAAAACTAGTCTTATGAAGTTTCTCACCATCTAGTAACAAAGTTGCTCAATAATTTTGGTATACAAATGAGTGGCTCTTGGCCGTTATTTTCTGCACGCCGAGTCTCAAGCAGAACAACAGATATAACGAAAAAGTGATTCGGATATCACAGAGAAACGAAAGCAATAAAATGAAACAAGAACTATGCACTAAATATTTGTATCTGCAACAATTTTACAGTTTTGAGTACAACACATCAAGCTGGGTTGCCAACGAAAAGGTTGGAATTTCTTTCTATCACACAGTGGTTTTCACATTCAGACTACAATTCGAGACCTGAAGAAAACTATATCTGAAGCAAAACAAGACAGTCTAACTTGAGACTGGGACAGAACACCTTGTCATGGACATAATTTTACCAGTCTCCTCAGAGTTCCAATCAATTTCGACAAAAAACAGAAAGTGACTGTAAGCAAAAGGGCTACAAGCCGACCTCCAAAAAGTCCGGCAAGAACAATTAGGAAGAGAAACAGATACCCGAAATTCCCTTCTTTTCCTTCTCTTCCCTTCTTTTTAACAACCAACGGTGTTTCTTCGCCAGCCAATGAAACTCTATCCAATCCTTGGATTTCAGACTTCTCTTCTGCATCTAGTGAAAACACTGATATGTTTTCGCTTTCTTGTTCATCCTCATTCACATCTTCATGGTCTTCTTGTGCTTCACATCCCTCTACCTTATCAACTCCAAGGAAACTAGAATCTCCACCGTACAGCACAGGCTCCAGCTCCTGCTCGTTTGGCTTACCCTTTCGACGCAACTTCTTAGGCACAAATTTCTTGATAAGTTTAGCTTTAATCTTAGCATTCTTGCTACCCTTACTCTTCTTATCCCCAACAAATTCACCTCCATCTTCGCCACCCTCCACGAGCTTTATCTTCTTATAATCCTTCCCCAATAACTTAACCAATGACATATCCTCGACAGTCTTATCAGCACAAACCCTTCTCTTATCCACCAGCTTCTTCTTCTTACATTCCATCCCAAGCAAGTCAACCATACTTTTTTCGCCGGAAGTTTTATCAACGCAAACACTTCCCTTCTCTGCCGCCTTTTCCTTCTCACAATCTATACGGAGCAACTCAATCAATCTTCCCTTCTTGTTAGCATCAACAATCTCAATCTCTTCAATGGCAGAATCTAAAAACACAGTCCTTTCTCTTGCAATCACTCCCTTCAAATCATCACTCTCGAAACCATTCAAAAACAATAAAAACGCAGACAATCTCTGACCCATCACAGATTTCGCATTCGAACATGGTTTCAAGAACAAAGCCAAGTGCTTACCGGCGTATTCGAGAAGCAGAAGCAGAAAAGCAGACAATGTGACCCCAACGACGAGCTTCTTGGTGCTCAGAGCCAAAACCACCACCACAAACATCTTCATCACCGCCGTCAGAACCGGCCCCCAATTGCCACCGATGCAATCCTCACCGCCAACAACAAAATTCTTCTTACGATTTTCAATCCCAGTAGCTTCAACGCCGTGATCGGCTTCTCTGGGCTTCAAATTCTCGACCTTTGGCGAACTGGGTTTCACCAAAATCGGCAAATCGCCCGAACCCAGTTCACAATTCAGAGTGATCCGATCGTCGACCCGGTCCTCGACCCGGTCCTCGACCCGACTCTCTCTCTTCTTGCTCTTGTTCTTATTCTTTTTCGACGGTTTCTTTAAGTGATCGCGGTTCTTGACGAAGAGGTCAATGAGAGAGGTGGGAAACCCGGTCTGCACGACGAGCGAACCGCCGCGCTTCGGCGACTGGAGATCGGCGACGAATTGGGAAATCCGATTCGCCCTCATCTTCTTCCACGGAAGCGGCATCGCCACTGAAAATTTGGGGAAAAAAAAAAAGAAAAACAGAGCAGAGAAAAATTGGTTTCGAAAGGAAACACTCAATTTCTGAGAAAAAAATAAATTATGGGGTTTTGATTTATAGCAGTCATCGTCTACTATTTCAATTAATTAAAAAAAAATTAAAGAAAAGAAATGGGAAAGCGAGTTGAAATCAGATGGGGGTGCGGTTGTTGGGTGAAAGGTTGGATCTTTGAACGCGGCACGCGGCACGCGGCAGAGTTGAAAGTTCTTTTTGTATGTTTCCGATCTGGGTCCGGAAAATTTTGTTTTGTTTTTGGACATGGGTGCCGGAAATTGAATCCATTTTAAAAGTCCATATTCTGTTGGATTTGTTTTCTGTTTTTTTGTTAGGAGAGATGAGTGAGGAAGCGTTCTTGGGGAGGAGGAGGTAAGTGATGAAGAGCAAGAGTAACCAATTTTTGGGTGGAGAGGAAGAGTTACTAATTAAACTGAAACAAACAAACGGTTTTGAAATTGGTGAGAGTTATGTGGTAAGAATTACTACATTGATTTGATGCCCTATTCTACGGGACATTTGGGCTTTTACATAGAACCATGAGTTTCGTTGTATTTTTGTTTGTCCCTCGAGATAGTAGTTGAGGCAGCACACTCTCTGGTTTTATACGTAGTTAAGTATGGTGGTTCTCATTTGTGGGATTTTATCGGTCCTGAATTCTTTTCATTTTTGGCAAACGATGGGCACATTACCAATAGAATCCAATAAAGTCTAATGACAAAAAAATAAAAAAAAAGGGTAAGAACTATTGCATTGATTGATATGATAGTCTTGTCTAATGCTGAAGTTTTGTCGCAATGTTGTTATTTATACAAGCGATATTTAAGGATGAAATAACCAAAACTAGAATTTACGATGCAAGGATGAATGTTGTAAACTAATTATAAATTTATGGCTCATCTTTTAAAATTTAGTGATCATCTAGTATCATATTCAGATTTTATTAGATTCTTTTCTCTTTTTTTTTCTTATCAAGGATTTTATTAGATTCTAAAATGCATTAATGAGATTCAAAATATAAAACTCACATAACCGTATATTAATATCGTTCATTTTCCGATTATACATGGGGCAAAAGTTTAAAGTAACTATGTAACAATCAATCGATTCCGATTCGTTGTAGATGTTTTTCCGTAAGTATTGGATTTTTAATTAGAACTCACATCCACCCATACCAAGATGCTTATATAAACCAAATGGGCAATTTTGTTAACCTAATCAATTAGCCTATAAGAGTAGCAAGAGGCAATCCATGCATGACTATATAAGCCAAATGTGCAATTTTGTTAACCTAATCTTCTTTCATGCAATTTTGGCAAACCTTAAAATCCATATTCTTATCATCATTAGAAGTTATATTATTTTATATTTTCTTAAATTGCTACATCAATATACATATATGCACAATGCATATGAAATACTCGAAAAAACTTCACACACACTGTTTGTCTTGAATCTCCTTAAAGTGGCTAACTACTAACTAGTGCAAGTGTCCCATCCATTTAAACTTTTTGCTTTATTTTATTATTACTAGTTTGTTGTAGGTGAATGCTCCTTTTAGCTTATTGTGCTTGAAATATCTTTCAAGTTGCCATCCAATAGTGAGCTTACCTAACCTTTATCCAATACGCAATTGCTCATTTAGTGCAAACAATGAAAGGTGTCACTAAATTATCAACAACTCTTTCATGGCAATTTTTTTCTTCGACACCTAAATCATCGAGTACTATTTGCATAATTAATTGTTGAATCTGATTGATCTAACTAACAAGAATTATCACAATAAATATATTATAATCCCAATTTATTTTGACTTAAAAAGACGTCGTAACTCAATGTCTTGCTTTTACCGGATGTTTAGGTTGTAATTTGCTTTACCATATTGGAAAATAAAAACAAACTATTAACAAAGACGAGCAAAGTACAGACATCGCAACACGCATTATGCATAAACTGGCATCTGGAGGAGCAATTGTCACCAACAAATCCACTTTCAGCCCTTTCATGTGTAAGATGTCCCCCACTCCTCACTGAAAACCACTCGATGGAATTATTGGACCAAGTTAGGATATTTCTTGGATGGGACCCCAATTTCACCATGATGTGCTTAGAATCCGATGGCTGTTTTTGCTTTTATCCCATATAAAGATGGAAAAAGATAACTATATTGTATAATATGTACACAAATATTATTGGTAAAGTGAGAAGGGGAAGAAGAAATGAAACATGTTGGCTTAAGAACCAAGCACGTAGAATATCACAGTCGAGACGGGACCTAGTTTGGTATTATTGTGTTTTTAAAGAAATGTTTCTGTTGTGCAGTAAAAAATAAAAATAATCAGTTGTGAAATAAAATAATAAAGTGTTTAATAAAAGTTTGTAAAGATGTTTAGAGTTTAAAAATCAAAATACATTATTAAAATGTTTGATATACTTTTATATAAACTTTTTATAAATATGGATGACAACCAAAGAAAACACAACATTCAGAAGGTTATTTATTTGTATGGCCAAAAGAAACTTCACTAAGTACACTTCTTTTTTCACAAGCTTATAAGATTAAAAGAAATATATGAAATATATCCTAACTTTTATATTAAAATTTACAAAAAATATTTTAATTATAGAACCATCTAGAGGTCCAACCACTATTATGTCATTAATTTCTTCTCAAATAAAAAAATGAAATTCACATCTGGAAGGAACAAAACTAAAGTTGGTGTCTACGATTCTCAGTGATCTGATCAGGTTTCTGCTTCTGCAATCAATATAAATGCCCATCTCTAGCGAAAATTCTTTTAAAATATTTACTGTAGACTGACAATAATTCATCGCATATTTCATAAACTGTTTACTAAAATATGTTGTATTCTTACCATTAAACAAAGATGATGGTTGAAAAAAACAAAAGAACACAAATAATGCATGCATGTCTTCGTCGTGTTTTTCGCGTAAAGCCATAGACTCTTTGCAAAAAGGCTTAGACCTAGTTTGGGAGTGAGGTGCTTAAAAAAAAAGCAACCATGAAAAAAAGTTGTGAGGGTTTTAGGTGTTTGGTAAACTGAAAAAAAATAGCTTATTTTGGAAGCTGCTGTGAGAATAAGCTGAAATCAAAGAAAAAAGCTGAAGCTGCTATTTGTAGCTTTGGAAAATTGGCTTTTTTTCAAAGCACATGGAGTTACAGTGCTTCTTTAATTAAAAGACTCAATATTAGACTGCTTTTTTTTTCAAAAGCACTTTTACAAAAAAGGTTTACCAAACACTCTGCTGATTTATTTCACAGCCGCTTATTCTCACAGCACAGCCGCTTATTCTCACAGCAGATTTTTTTCAAAACACAGCAATACCAAACCAGCCATTAATCTCTCTTTCACTAAACAAAAAAGCTAAAACGTCTCAATTGGTACGGGAAATTTAATAAAGTCTTGGTGGCATATATTCTATTTTTTTTATAAAAGAGTAATAGTTTGTTTGAAAGTATTTTTAGAGAAAATATTTTAGAGTTGCAAAAGCACTTAAAGTGTTTCTTGCAAGAAACACCAATTCTTCTTGCACGGAACACTTTAAGTGAATTTTTAGGATTCACTTGCAGTTTTACTTAGAATTGGTTTCAAAAATATTTTTACCAAAAGTGCTTTCAGCCATTTTAAAAACACTTTCAAACAAACTCTAAATTATAGTAACTCTATCAAGTGCTCAAATATTATAATTATTAACTAACTTGGAAAAAAATCTCAAGTAATTAAAAATGTTTTGTTCATTGTGCTCACGTAAAACGTGTACTTAATTATGGAGAGATTACAGGGAATAAAAAGGGAGACCCCATCCCCATTGGTGTAACCTTTTCTTGCAGGTAAACGACCAGAAAATGCTGGTGTAAATTGACCGATGATGATTGAGTTCATTTTTCTTTTCAGTTTCTACTCATTTGGTCACATGTTTTTTGATTATTTGAGATACAGCTGTTACAACTATTTTGCTTCTTTACTACTTCAAAGTTCAAACATCACCAAAAGCAAAGTTGAATGTGCTTGTACATGAAAGCAAAAGTTGAAACTTCGAAAACGTACGAAGATCTTAGTTTAACACGCGTAGGTAGATAAAGCAGAAATTTTTAAGTGTGGCTGTGATATTTGTGCTTAGGGTTATAATTTTTATTTTTCTTTAAAAGAAGTTTAGCTGGTGGCTTCGGTATAGCAGTCATTCCTTCCGGGAGCCAGGAAAACTCACAAAGACTCGTTCCTTTCGAGGGCTGAGAAAACTCACAGAGGCATTTATGTCTTCCCCTCGCCACTATCGTGCGATTCACCTGCACTAAGAATCGAATTCAGAACATGTCTTGTGGAATACAAGCCTGAAATTTATCCCTAACCACTGGGTCACCCCGTAGTAGCGAAGTTGTAAGTTACACTACACAATTATAACATATATTTTATTCATTAACACTAAATATTAATTCTATTGAGGTTGTGTTGAGTTTTGTTTTAAACATGATTTAGATGGAATATAGTAAAGGTTACCCATCCCATGCAACTTACCGACTTGCTTCCTAAATGAAGGAAAAATACCGAAACAGTTAGGTGGTCGACAAGTCGGCAAGTTTACACAGTGGGGTGTGATATCCATACACATTTTTTTACTTCTCACATACCTCTTTAATTTTCAGCCGTCGGATCAGATGAATTGAAGAAGATCAACGAACAAAGCGTGTGTGAGAAGTAAAATGAGGTGTGTGGATAACACATCCCTAAAATATAATATTGACAATCAGTGTATACGCTGTAACATGAGTAAATTGATGTTCTAGTACTCTAATTATTTAACACAAAATCAGTAAAAAAAAGGTTTGTAGCCGAATTTTTAAGTCTATGGAAAGCAAAGCTGGAAGCACATTGGACGGTGTCATTTTTTATTTTTATTTTTTGTCAAAAGAGTAGACTTGATTATAATCTATTGGAAACGTTTATATCTTCGGCCAAGATATTGAAAAGAAAATCGAGACCTAAAACATCCCACATGAAAGAACTTCCATGACAAGCAAC